TCTCGCCCCCTCACGTAGATTCTGGCATGACCTTGTGGAACACTCTGTGACTACCCTATAAAAATAGTTGTAATAATTTTCCTTTGTCTCCATAAAGGGCTGTATAAAGCTACCGCGCCTTTTGATATACCATAGTGGGCGGAGCAGGAAGCCAAGGGACCGATACAGAGTTGCACGATTGTCCATCAAGACACAACACAAACCGACGTGCCCAGCACGGTCAGTGTAACCTACCTATATTTATCCGTCAGCGTAAATGCCTAGAAGTACTCACAGTACATGCATTTACGCTACACTTGCATGAAAACCAGACGTTAGTTTCTTCTCGTTTCCAATCGCTCGTTTTCAACTGCTCTCCTGTTGGTGTGACTGAAGGAAAGTTTATAAGTCGATTGCTTCTCCCGTCTGTGTCATCCCAGCATCACCACAGCAACACATTGGCAGGATCACATGATATGAGGTTGTGCTATTCGCTTGTGTCACCAGGTTTTCCGAAGCAAACTGAAGCTATTCAAAGGTGCCCCAGCTCACAGCGTCGCCCCATTTTGACTTGTCCCAGCCGCCCAGATATTTTAGTCAACTGAGCTAGGGTGCATGCTACAGTGCGGACTGTTTTGTTGTAAGGCTGTGAGGCTTGGTTTATTCGATAAGCGAAAATGAGACGTCTTCAGATGTTCGACAATCGGTGTCTCAAAATCATAGCTCGTGTGGGTTGGTGTCAGCGTATACGTAACGAGGCTGTTAGAAAGCGCGTTTTCGACTGCACAATGGTTACTTCCATTGAAGAATGTATCCAGCACCAGAAGCTGCGTTGGTTGGGACATGTGTTCCGTATGCTGAACCATCGTTTGCCGAAGAGAGTGCTGTTTTCCATACCCAATTCAGAGTGGCATGAGCACACGACCCCACTACGCCTTGTTAGAGACGTTGCAATGTGTGGCTGCCAATCGACGTCAATTTCAAAGGCTTTCATACCGTCACTTTCCGTCTAGACTGCCGGAACGAGCTTCTGGAGATGCAGGCACATCGAAATGATTGTGGTAGGCTAGCACTAAGTCTCTTCCACACCAAGGTCTATTCTTTCTTCCAAAAAGTAGGCTTTCAAATGAACCATGGTTGTACGGCAGTTAAGCATCGGTGTTTAATACTGATGTCATGCTGTCAATGACGATGATGATACATGCCTGATTACCTTAGTGGATACAACGGACGAAAACGGACCTGCATACGTTACTTTCACGTATATGCACAAAGTTACTTTGCCAATCACACGAATCTACAGTAAGCACCGATCATCAGATTTCCACTAAATTTCTCATTTCTCAAGAGACTACCTTGATCTTCTCACAGTGTTTACAGTGCCCTTCTCTGAGCACCGAACTCGTTGCTCTCTCGTTCGAAGAATGGCCAAAATATGGATATAAAAAGACCCATAAGTTCAAGGCTTCCCATGGCACTTTCGAACGACGTACGTTCGGGAAGCTCGCAGCTGAACAAGTCAAGTGAACGAATCAAAATTACCGTCCAGAACCCTTTCTTCCACTTGATACTCCTATACTAGGAACCAGGATTACCATTACTTCATACTGAGCTATTGGCCAGCTGATCCACAGTTCACTAATGATGTCTAGATAGTCAACGGTCTGCTCGCCCACCTGCCCACATTCTCCTCAGTGGTAAATCGTTTTGAAGTCGTTATATCTAACTGCTGTTCCCACTCCAGTGCTGATGTCAGAAGAAGAACTTACCGACATTGGTACACAACAGCTACATTCCGAGCAAGCGAGTGCGTGCGAGAGCAAAAATTACAACGACCCCACGCTCTTTAAAGGGGACTTTCTGACATTGATCCAGGCTGTCTGATAGGCGTTAGTGAACACACGTTAACATCGATCGTGCCCCTATGAAATGCCTGAACAATGATCACGTTCGGTCGTGCTTCTGTGGTGTGTCTGAACACTCATCAGCTTTTACTGAATTGATTGAATGATTGACCGGCCTGGATGCTTGCAGGCTTTCCTATTGAGTTTTTGGTGGAGTTTTAGTGTCTCAGTAGGTTACGGGCGTTCTGAGGTTACTTTCGGGAATCTGACCCTCGTGATAGAAGCTGATTATCATAGGAATTTTGTCAGCGAATTTATGATTTGACTCAACAGCATGCAGGTAGAGGTTGAATCACCATCGCTGGTTATGTCAAAATGTTCGTGGAACCTCCTTGTGGACCTGAAGAATAAAAAACTAGGAAGAGGAAGTAGGCAACAACAAGATGTCCGTTCCTGTGAACAACAATGAAGAAAACACGTGCGTGCGTCGCAAAGGAGTTGAAATTCATCAGGCAGACTGGCCAAATGTCTCTTGTTAACTTGACCCAAGAAAAGTCCAGTCCAAGACGACTGACAAATCTTAGGAAAGTAGTCCGTCTTGGAAGCCATGGGATCAGCTAGATCCTCTGCGTTGCAAAAGCTTTAACCAGGTACGGGAAGGACCACAGTCACAGCAATCGATGTAAGAGAATCCCACAGTGTTCGGATTTGCTGCAGTGGCCAACCTCTTTCTCCCTCTGTTGTGCAACTTCCACAGTACATGTCCCAATCAATCTAATCCAGGAGTCTTTGTTTACTGGTCACCAAATACCGGCTTACTTACCACCAGGACAAGTTGCGCGCAGCTAACTCCTGCTTTGTGACCTTGGGAATGCTGATGTCTAAGATGCTCATTCAAGATTGGAAACTGTTTTTCCTAAGCATAATTTCGGGTGACCATGAAGGATATCACAGATCATCATTCTGAAGTTAGATATGCTTCTGATGAAGAAACTTTGAAAAAGGTAGCAAAATCGGATTAAAAGATTGCCCTATATGTGAACAATCAAATTGAAATCAAACGTAAGCTGGTTTACTTAGACTCCATTTGGGCCTGGAAGCAAAGCCGTCATGGTTGAATGGATTTTTCGATCTTGAGAAACTTTTTGTAAGCCCCCTCGACCATCTGTAATGAGAACCAGGTGACCTGATCAGATCAGAAAATGGAGTCCTACTATAATCGATATTTTGACATCAGACAGAGCGTATTAGTAATCACGCATCCTGGCGTCAGAGCCGGGTAGAAAGACGGTCAGATGCTGTCGGATGGTAACGGAAAAAACTGATATTCTGTTCAAGCTCAGCCATCCGTATGGCCTAGCTCTCCAACTGAATGTGCTGCACACAGGCCGCCTCCTGATTCAGTTGGCATGATACTCGATATTCATAAACGAGCGATTCAGTTGAGTCTCTCGTGAAATCTAAATTGAGTTGCAAATGAGTGTATTTCTCGAAAACAGTCCCATTTGGTTCCAGGTAGAATATAAGGTTGACGGAAACTCGGAGACTGCACCTACCTGATGAGCCTCAAGAAGGGCGAAACCGGTCGTGGGCTGTGGAAGAGTTTTCAGCAACCTTGTGAGTAGTTTCCTTTATAGAAAAGGGGGGTATTTACAAAGAAAGCATGTGTACTTGAAGCCGTTATCCCTGTGGTAAACGGCAAAAAGATATGCTGACAACCGTTAAAATCTAACACTTCTTCGAAGCCTAGCAGCCGGGCCACCTGAAGGAAGCCTGATAGCTAAGATTCTACCGAGTTGCCAAAGCCTAGACAGAATCAACGGAGATGCGCGATTGGGTCTGACCCACGGACCTTCTGATCGGCATGTTCCGCCTTTAACACTGAGCTCAGATATGTCGAAAGCGTCGTTTGACTTTAGAGTACGTAACCTTTATAACCAATGCCTATTACAGGGCGTGTTTATTTCGGTATTTCAGTTTCACCCTGAAAGCAATTCGGGAGAATTATAGTGCAACACAGCAATTCCACAATCTACCCCAGGATCCTCCCATTAGGTTCCATTGCTTGATGGTGTTGTATCGTGGGTGACCGTCTATTGGTTACTTCTGCACTGAGCCTGCCAGACTACGCGATAGGGAGAAGACAGAGATCTGGGGACACGGTTGTATTGCCAGGACAAAACATACAGAGCGTCTGCTTAGATATATAGGATGACTAAATGGCCAAATATGGTCGTTCAATAGTTCGTTCTGTACAGCCGATGGCGGTGTTCCGGTCGTGAACAATTTCAGGCTCGCTAAGCTGGCCGTATGTTGCTAAGCCGTGTTTGGTGAGAGCCGCCAACTCACCTACTTTCCGGATGTGTCGTACTGATGGCGACCTTGGGGTTTGCGTCACTCTCGGCATATGTGTTTTTTCTCCTGTCTGGGTGCGTCCTGACAGATGGCTTCACATACAATCAAGCCAACAATCTCTTCGATACCATCGGGGGACGGAAGACTGGAATAGGTTTTCTTGTGTGTGCGCCAGTACTCCAAGGCATCTATTACAGAATTCACTCAGTGAAACACTATGTAAAGTGACATTGTATGAATAATCGATCGAGTAATTCGACCTTCATGGGCATTGTGTGAACCGAAGAGGGCGAGAAACCGGAAGCCCAAACAGCAGACCCATGAAAAGGCAATGCCCTCTGGGAAGACTCTCCACTGCGTGCTGAGGGAGTACTGAAACACAGATGCAGCGCTGTCAGGTCAACTCTCCTAAATGACTTTATACCATCATTTGATTCAAATTGAAACAGGCTTTCAAGAAACTGCGCTTCCTATCGATAAATAACCAACAAGATCTACTCGCAACACCCGCTTTTGCGGGTCGTTTGGTCCCGAAGACACACGTTCACACACTACTCACATCCGGACCACTATTTTCCATTGGTGTGAGTGTGTCAAAAAAGAATTTATTCATGTCAGCTGACCCAGCATAAGCCATTCTTCCGATGTTTACACCGTTACCATGGTGAGCTCAGCGCTATTGATCCATCCTCAGTGGTCGCTTTCTTCAGCTGATCACATGATTGTGTCAGGTATCCTGTGGGTTGTTTCCAGACAATTTATTCGTGCAGCTTGTATATATATATAAACGAAATGAAGAGAATTGAGCAGAGTTGTACACAATTTGTTCCGAAACATGACGGGGAAAGAACGCCAGATCGTCGTACACCGTGACAACCGTTCGCTGGAACAACAACACCGTGATCGGATTAGTAGTTTGGAGAGAAGTCGGGCAACTCGGAAGTCGACAGATATTGTCCCCAGGACTGGAGATGACCTGTTTCCGCGAGGATGGTTTCAAGAGATGGATCGATGGATGGCGGAAACTCAGCGAAGTTGGTATGATGATATACGCCGGATGAGGGAGAATATGTTTTCATTACTGGTTAGTGCCAAGTAGAATTCGTTCGAATAAGATTGAATCACAGCAAAATCCCACTGCACCGCTTTCCTCTGTAGTGACTACCCATCTAGATATAACTAGCTTGCTTTGATGTAAATCCAGTCAACGCGTTAGCAGCAAGCAAGACGTTTACATCCCAATGTCACAGCTGCATTTTTCTCACCTTAAACTGCACGACGGTTAAACGTATTTTACAGTAGTTCCTCTCCTCATGAAGCAACTAATATATAATAAAGTATCATATACAGCATGCACAACACATTATACTACATATCAAATGATTCCTCCCGCTTGATTCCCTTTGAGACAAGCTTACTATAAGTTTGACAATAAACGCAGGGTGCCTCTAAGGTTCCTAGTACCAAATATGGTCTCAGAATCTCATTGGTAGATGCAGGCAACTTTAGTTATCTTGTCAACTTTGAATGAGCCTACTGTTATCTGTCATTCGCTGTGTCGCCCTCAGCGGTTCTGTCTGTCACCTTCAGATTTATTGTCACATGGACAGTATTACTGACAAGCAGACGGGAAATGTAGAATGGTTGTAGGTGGTCGCTCTGCTGTCTCTCCTGAACTATGTTTTTTCCCCTTCTGACGCAAAGAATACACATACACAAAACCGAGGTGTTATTTTTAAGTGACCCCAGCCACAATCCACAAGTATGATGGGGATTCGAACCAGAGCACCTGACCCGCGAAGCGAGCATGTCGCCCCACTAAGCCTACTAGTACTACTGAACGCCGGAAACGTTGGATCAGGCTTTTTGAACTGCTGATCCAGGTGCGCGTGGCGTGCGCAGGTGAGGCGGTTTTCTTACGCTCACGGCACATGTCATTTGTCTAGGGGGTCAGATCCCGACTGAACTAAGGATAGAAACTCCTGATCAGAGATAGTCAAAGCGAAGGCCAATTCCGCTGTTTTCCATGTTTCATATAGAACGCGCCGGAACAAGAAGACGTCTGTTCACACAAGAGTGTCATGAATGTGAATGCGAATGCCTTGATATAGCATTGCTTTGCTTGTCATTCATTACCTCGTTTATCACCGCATTCAGTTTAGAAATCGGAGCGTCGACTATCCATAGAATGTATTCCATATTGGCTAAATTACCGACTTTTGGCTCCATCCCACGCTCGTGGCATCAAAATGAACAACTTGTAACTATCTTTGTAATGTACTACTCATAAGGTTGCTGAAAATCCGTGGATGGCCCACGACCGGTTTCGCCCTTTTTGGGGCTCGTCAGCTAGGCACAGTCCCCAGGTCTCCGTCAACTTTATGTTCTTGTAATTATCTACTTTAAACAGACTGATTTGTAGCAGCTTACTTATATCGAAGTTAGTAGTTTATGAAGCGACAGGATCAGAGAGAATTCGCATGCAATAGACGGCTGTGGATATGCCAAATTCTGCGTTGCATTCTGGGGGTAAAACAGTCATTTCTACGCTTATCTGTGCGACTCGGATTAAGGTTCATTGAGACTCACAGGGTCTACCCTCAGAACCAGGCAAGCAAGATCATCAACTTTCGAAGATTTGCCAACCCCCACACTGCTAATCGATAAGGTAGAGAGAAATACTTATTTAGAATGAACCGGATGACCTGCATTTCACCTTCCTAGAACAGGAACTTGGTGACCTTCTGAGGACGTTGGTTACTTACTCTAGCTTAGCTTTTACTGAGAGAGTAAGCTGACAGCACTCGTAAGTGTTGAACGAACGCTCAAATAGGAATTTCGTGATTTAATGTACCACGCACAGAACACAAGACCACTCCCCAACGATAGATGCTCATTTGTATGCCTCATTCAGCAGCACCAGGAATGCGCACGATATGTACTTATCGGGGTTGACTTCTATTCTAAACATCTTGTCTCACCATGGTTGAACAGACATTGATCGCTATGACATCTGTTACCGTATTTCATCATTTATGGAAAACGCCTGTGCCCTTGGTCAGAATTTCGCGGTTCCTTCTGAGAGGTTTGCTATCCTGCCCAAAGATTCAACGGTAAAATTCACTGAGCTGTGTCTTCCCCATTTTGCGGGAAGAAGATTTGTGAACCTGTTAACTATTGACTAAAGCTTTGCCCCGACTGAAGGCAAAGTAGTACAATCTTTCAGCGTATCAGCTTCTTTGCTAATACAAAGAATGCGTTGGGCAGCTATAAGCAACAAATGATTGTGTTGAGGAGATGTCACTATTTCAATCGAAGTCCTCGACTAATAATAACTAATTTGAATCTCACTGAAGATTCAAAAATTGTGCAGAATAGTTCATTCTTAGCAAGATTCAAACAGTTCTACCATGCTTTTCAACATTTCAGCATGAACTGGCCTCACTTTCTGGTAGATATCTCGATCAAAATTTCGCACTTTGATTTCTACGATCGAAGTAGATTGCACGCGGTGAGCATTCAGGTAGCGAGCTCTTGATCACGTGATGAATTATGAATGCACTGAACCAGTCTCTTCTGAACAATTTATTCATTGAGCTCCTGAAATTCAAGGGTTTTTTTCCATCAGACATCTCGTGCTTCTGGACAGACCAAGCTAACCTCTTCGCCATAAACTTACCTCGTTAAAGGAATTATTCAGTTTATCAACGCAGAAGTTTTAAGACAAAGGAAAAACTCGGATCATGTTTATTGAAGAATTTGTCGGAGCAAACACATTCAAAGACTTCTCACTTCTCCTCATTGATGGCTTCCATCTGCTTCGTAAGCAACCGATGGAAAGATGTAATGTGCACAGTAATGATGGTTGCTCTAATGGGGACTGTTGAGTTCTTCTTATTCGTTCTGACCAATCAAACCTCATCAAAATTGAAGATCCGAATATGAATGAACTTCACCTTTCGACTATTGTGTGTGCGAGGGAGGGGGCTTGATTGGTCTGGGTTATTGCCTATGCCAAAGAACGTTTCAAGCATAAGAGTTCAAGGTGAATTTTGGCTATCTAAACCATCAGGGTGACGTTCCTCCTAGATGCCAGTCAAATCCAGTGACATCCACAGTTAGCAACCACTATCATGATATCTGCAATCGTGATGTGACGCGGCATATATTGTTAGAAAAATGCGTTGTTCCACTCCCTGTTCTTCTATCTGACTTCATTTATAAGTGCATAACTTCAGGAGCGTTTCCTGTTGGCGTTCTCCAGTCCATTTAGCACCTCATTCAAACAACAGAACACATTAGTTTTGTAAGCTTGTTCGCATGAATTGGCTTTGATCATCAAGTGCGTCTTTTATTGCATGATACCAGTTTTACCTTGTGAAACGGCTTTCATATTGCGTCAGTCAGTACTGGAAAACAGAGAATCAGTTTACGATTGCTTAATCCCTTTACTTTATGCGGAATCACCAGCAGTGCGCACCTGGGGAGATATTAGGAGACTCTTGATGAACATTCGAACACTACACCACAGTTTCCGTCTTGTGACTAATCGCTCACAGGCTAACTGAGTGAAAACTATCGGATTGAACGCCCAGAGAACTCACAATCAGGTCAGTATATATCCATTTTTCGATTATTCTGTTTCTGCATTCGTCTGACTTGCGAGTTGTCTCACCTGGACACTTTTCTCTCCATCAGCCGTTGGACGAATTTGATTTGCCATCAACATTTTGGCCCACAAGTCCAACTGATCGAGTTTCATCGGTTATTGAGCGAATGGAACGTCAGATGGAAGCCATGCGACGTAATATGCGACAAATGATGTCACATGAAATGGACCCGATGCTCCCTGGTTTCGGATTTCACGATGGTCCACTCGACTTTCTCAAAGACGCATACCAAATTGGTGAAGATGGCAAGGTAAGTGTCAGTAAAATTAAGCGCATATTTGAGCCTGCTGTTGTCCAGTGGGTAATGCGAACGAAGCAGTTACAAACGATCAGATAAGAAAGTAAAGCCTCATCTGCATGGCGGTTTCGAAAAAGGCAGTGTATTCATGCGTTCGTTTTAGGCTATTCTAATATTCAGCGAAATACACTCATGTGCAAACTAATTTGGTTCTGTGGGAGACTCGCCTGGAACCCAGCTGAATCTCTCGTTTGTGATGTTTCAGCAACCTTATGAGTAGTGCAGTGCAAATATAAATGTATCGCGATATCTCGAATATCGTTGAGACTGAAACATGAGGCGGCCTGGTGCAGCACATCCAGTTGCCTGAAAACATCACAAACGAGAGGCCCAGCTGGATTCCAGTTGATTCTCTCGAAAAACCAAATTGATTTGCAAATGAGTGTATGTTCGCTAATTTCGTGCAATTTGATTTCAGTTAGAACATAAGGTTAACGGAAACCCGTGGACTGCGCCTTCCTGATGAGCCTCAAAAAGGGCGAAACCGGTCGTGGGCTGTCGACCAATTTTCAGCAACCTTATGAGTAGTACATTACGAGTATATTCTAAAAGTTGTTTGAATACAAAGCAATACTATACAAAACCCACAAAAACTTCAATAATTCCTGTGTCAGCATTCCGTCAGATGTTTGAGCGGAGCCTTTACACTTTGCCAGATAATAACTGCGTGCTTCAGCGGTAGTAAAAACCCTTACATCAGTTCCAGTTCGTCCGTAACTGACATGCCTTTCTACACTGGCACTGGAGTGTATTTTATGGTAGTGAATCACTTTATTGATCCCGGTATGCATTCCTTGAGCTTGGCTGAGCCAGGCTGAGCAACATTCAGTTTGCTCGCTAAAGTAATTCGGTTCGAATGTATTTACCTTGAGTTCCGTTATTCTGTTAAAGTCACATTGACACCAAATGAAATCATAACGTATCAAGCAGGAGAGACGAGATCTGTGTGGCGTGATTGCTACTAACACAATTTTAGTAAGACGCCCAGACCAGATGGCAGGTTTTCGTAGGCACGTATTCAGTCAAACATTTTAAAAATCGTTTACCTGTAACAATCTTCCGGTGCCTAGCTGCCATGTCACCCAAAGCAAGCACGAGGGCTGGGATACTGCCAGGTTGCCCAAGGCTAGACAGGTTAAGTCGAGGGACAGAGATCGGGTACGAACTAGGAATCTTCCGGTAGGTAAATTCGCCCTCTAACCACTTGGACCATCTCTCCCCCGGTCAAACATTAGCACATATGTACGCATTTTCTAGCTGTCCAGGCTGTCACATAAATTGTGTATGAGCTGTCTTCAATCCATGAAAAGGTCGCCCGTTGTTAGGAGAAATAGATATGTTTTGCGGAAAACCAAATTGGTTATACTCATGTGGACGCCTGGTTCTCCACATTCCTTGCGTTCTTCCACCGCGCTGACCTAAAATTGGAAGGTGCAACCCCATACGCAGACAACGATATTAGTTCGCTCAAAGCTGATATATCATGTCATGGAGAGAGATGAGAAGTAGTGGATTCTGGATGCAACTTTCGGGAATCCGTTCGGTCGATATGAAGGGATTCTGATACACAGGTGATGAACTTCGCGTAATCAATACACTGTTACATCCGAGTTCCACTACGTCTCAATGCAGAGGGTGTCTTTCATTCCGTTCCAGCTTCATTTCATTGTACGATTTGATCTTCAAGGCTTCCGCCCGGAGGATATCAGGGTGACGTCAACACCAAATTGTCTAACTGTCAAGGCTCAAAAATCGTCAAAGACTGATAATTCCTCGGAGGAGAGGCAATATTATCGAGCGATTTACCTGCCAGATAAGGTGGAGGATGATAAGTTCAAGTGTAACCTGAGCAACGTAAGTCAACAGTTTCAACTTAGACGGCTCATTTTCTAAAAACTATCTGGTCTTGCACTGCTTGTTGTCACTAGGCTTTGCCAGCAACCTAGATTTTAAATGCATCCTCATAAACCAAGTTTGGTTCAAATTTACAGGTCACTGCGCGCGCGGTGAGCGTTGGGCCTCAAGCGACTGAACAGCAGTTAGACAGGATAGAATTCCCCTCAATCTGAAGTCACAGGTTGACAACATCGTGTGGTCACGTGTTGACTGGCCACTCCAGTGACGAGTTCTCAGATGGAATTCCTAAAAGGGATAAAGTAGCTATTTTTGGCTTTCCAGCAGAGACTGACCTCCCAAGCAAGATGAAGCCTCAATCGAAAACTTTCAAATCTTCTCACATTGCCATGAATCGATCTGCATGTCATGTTACCTCTGGTGAAAACACTTCCATTCTCAGGTCAAGTCACGTGACTTATGTAACCACAAGTAAGATTTAGAAAGCATTTTCAGTGTCCAAATCATGTATAAAAGCTTCGATAAATATGTCGAACGAATTTCAAAAAGTTTATCTGATATAGAACATAAGGTTTACGGAAACTGGAGGACCGCACCTACCAGATGAGCCCCAAGACGGGCGAAACCGACCGTGGGCTGTCGACGAATTTTCAGCAACCTTATGAGCAGTGCATTACGAATATGCATGTACCGCGACTGAAACATGAAGTGGCCTGGCGCAGGACATTCAGTTGCCTGGAGACATCACAAACGAGAGCTTCATCTGGGTTCCAGATGAGTCTCCCTCAAGACCAAATCAGTTTGCAAATCAGTATATTTCGCTGGTTATCTGATACAGTTGGTGAAATGTAAAATCTCTCATTTAACTTTTCTACGAACTTTCAGGACGGCTTCCTCACATTGGACGCTCCTGTCAAGGAAACCGATTACGACCGCCTTGCGTTCGATCAGCAAAAGCGATTGGCAATCAAACCGAGGCCGGAATCACCGACAAGCAAATCCACTGTCAGATTTTCTGAGCGATCACCAGTGATCCAGTTCATCGGTGAGTATCGTACAGCACTTAGGCTTATTCAACAACTGACGACCCACTTAGCAGCCGGGGGTGTAAATTTTGTCGTGGTACGCGATGCTCTCACGATGTGATCCCTTTCCACCTACTTAAAATTCTTGCCTCTAAGCCGATAACCTGAAAAAGAAGACAACGTTTCTATGGCGTGGGCTTTTCGAGTCTGCCTATTCAGCGGCAATGCAAAAACAGGTGAAACCAAGAGGACCAATCAAATTCCTTAGTCCCTAACTCTGAAACCGATAGGCGGATTGCGTGCCGACATTCTGTGGGCACAAGCTGGGTCACTACTGATGAACGAACTTTGCCTTAATGAAAATTGTTCCCAGTGATCGGAATTCTTTCCGCGGCCAAAGTGGTCGGTGGTCCCGCAGTCGAGCAAAGCCAATAACGAGTTATTACATGTTCTGGCAAATTAGATTCCAACGCAACGTCTTGGCTCGAGAATTTCGGTTCAATATGCTCTGATTAGGTTTATATTCACAGGAAATAAAGCACCGCATTTACCGGAAGTCTCCAAGGTGTCTAAAGACAGGGCACGACCGCCTCAAACCAGGCTGGTGGCCATTCGATACTACTTACATTTGTGAGTAGTGTCGACGCTACTAACATTCATGAGAGCCACTCCTATCGCTGTGTTAAGATTTCCGTTGACCTGCACAAGCCATGGAAAGCATGTCGATGAATTCGGAGAGGGGTTTTTTCTCGATGAGTGAAATTAGTTTAAAATTACTCTTCTACGGAAGCTGACTGATACACCTAAATTACATCGTTCGACAGTTGACCCACCTTGAATTTGAAGACAAGACGCACAAAACGTGGAAAGGTTTAAAATGATAGTCTGCTTTGAATCTTGCTGGTTCTCAGTGGGTACGATTTTACGGCGTCTGACCAATGGCATGGATAACACGACACGCTGTATACCATTCTCAGATGGTATCTTGGTTTTCAGTTTTTGGATTGCTTTTGCACACATGTGACTAACATACATTCGGACCACCTGATGCCCTATGAAACAGAGACCAGTAAGGGCGTTGTCCGAGTAAGGGTCAAATTCAAGTCCAGTCCGTACCAGCTTCGATGTGAACTCATCAGAATAATAGCGGGAGGGCCTAACGAGTTCTCAAAAGAAAGTGATGAAAGAAATGCACTAATTTGCAAATCGATTTGGTTTTCATGAGAGACTCAACTGAATCTCTCGTTTATGAATGAGCCGCACACAGCCCGCTTCATGTTTCAGTTGGCACGATATTCGATATATCGCAGTATATTTTCATAAAGGAAACTACTCAGCTGCACATTCAGTTGTAGAACACCATAAACGATGGATTCGGTTGAGTCTTCCGTGAAACCAAATTGATCTGCAAATGAGTGTATTTCTCGAAAACAGTCCAATTTGGGTTTAAGTAGATCATAAGGTTGACAGAAACTCGGGGACTGCGCCTACCTGATGAGCCCCAAGATGGGCGAAACAAGTCGTGGGCTGTCGAAGTGTTTTCAGCAACCTTGTGAGTAGTTTCCTTATTGAAAGGTGATGAGAGACTTTATGTCTACAAATCCTGCAAATATCTGCGGCTGGTGGATAATACGACTGTGCATCAGCCTATCACTGCGCAGCGGAACAATCATGTGAAACAGAGCCGTGCGATTAGGCCAGCTAACCTGGGGGACTTGCGCGCATCAGTTGAGATGCCATATGAAAAAGTGCCAAAGAATACCACTTTTGGTATGATATTTCTAAATAATAGCTCTGCTGCTGGTGATGCTGGCCAATGTTATGGTTTTACCGACAGCATATATATATATATATATATATATATATATATAGAGAGAGAGAGAGAGAGAGAGAGAGAGAAAGTTGTAATTGCGTTAAGACACAGTTCCTTCTCGTCGCCTTCTTGCCTACTGACTATAACCCAGTAGCGTCAGTTAAGGTGAAGAGATAAAACAGTCGAACATTTTCCAGCCTATTTTAAGCGTCAATGACGCTACCTGACTTGGGGGCCCTGTTCAGAGGATCAGTCGACAGATACACGAAGACCATTACTGGGTCATTAATCCAGCCGTCAGGCTAACCAGCTACATCGCCCAGGCGCGAACATGATCGTTTGTTCGGACTCAAATGCGTCCACAGTGTGCTGATCGAGCAATGATAATGCGCTCTCCTCGCATATCAGATATCCGGAATTCAAAGCCCAAAGCGGCCGAGGATATGGACTGGTGAGAAGCCCAAATCTAGGAGTTTCTCTATATAATATGAAAAGAAATTTTTTTTCTGGATCGCATTTTAAAGAAGATTGGTTGACTAAGGCACGCATCTGCGCCGATTGATCTTGACCTCGTCAGCGAGACATCTCAACCTCTGAAGCGATTCAAGTAATGTACCCAGTTTCTCTAAGTACAGATTTACATGCGTTTACTTTGGACTATAATTGGACAATGCAGGTCTGGACCTTGGAAGATGCATCTCGCACTATTTGCCGCGCTATTTGATTGATCGGCGCATTAAAGCCTGATACTCCTAAAACCAGCTGGGTCTTTCCTGGAGTGCAATACCCCGAAATACTGCTCAAAGTTCCGTTCCCCGCTGACGAACCGAAGCGACCATGGTTCATTCAGGCTACGCTGATCCCTTAATATGCACTCAGCCTGTACTCACAAAGATGGTTGACCCACGTCATCAAATGACTTTAAAGATATGAGTCGAATCCGACTGATTCAATAAATGACTCATCATCACTACAGGCAGCATAGCAACATTGTTCATCACAGATGCTTTGCTGACGTTCAGCCAATAAAAACGGACTACAAGAACGCCAATGACATCAGTTAGCAGTCATATCTTGCAACCTCATCAACCAGGCGCACTGGGGAACACGAGGTCCCATCCTGGATGGCAAGTGGCACTCAAACGTTTTCCTCTGTCAGGTGAGAAGCTGACCACCTCACTGTTTGCGACACTGTGAATTTGGCATGGAAAGCACCACTCTCTTCGTAAAATGATAATTCCACATGCCCAGTACATTGCCTGGACAAAACAGCTTCCGGAGCTGGACACATTCTTCGATGTGAGTCCCCACTGCATAGTCAAATATTCGTTCTCTGAGATCGGCTTACATGAACTATGGTTCTGAGATAACGGTTATCGAATACCTGAAGATTTTTCAGTTTCGCCCGTACAATGAAGGCCAATTCTTACTGCCATACAGCACAAGAGACCCTAATCTAGTCTGATACTCTTGTCCTTTGAGGTTCATGGATAGCCCGGTGTCCCACCATAGGTGTCCCAAATCAGAAAACGTGGGTAGAGCCTTGCGGATTCCTTCATTTACTTCATCCGTCAAACTAGACGACTGGTTTCCCTCCATTGTTTCGAAGCTATCGTTACATTGCAATGGAATTGACCAAAATGGATTTTGTCACTTTGTTTTCTTCCTTCTTTATTCGAAACAGTAGGTTGTAAATAATCCAAGCTTAGTTAACCTGAAAATCATAATCAACGACGTAACGCTAAACATTCATTGAGTTTGGGGCCATCGGTGGTCATAAGCCGATCGATATCGGCGAAAGAGAATTAGTTTTCAAAGGCCGTTATGATTTTTAGATTCCCTCCTCACAAATGAAAATAATTGTCTAACTTCATCAAGGAAACTACTCACAAGGTTGCTGAAAACTCTTCGACAGCTCATGACCGGTTTTGCCCTTCTTGGGGCTCATCAGGTCGGCGCAATCCCCGAGTTTCCGTCAACCTTATCATCTACTTGAACCCAAATTGCACTGCAGAATATCATAAACGAGAGATTCAGTCGAGTCCCTCATGAAAACCTAATTGATTTGCATATGAGTGTATTTCTCGAAAAAATGGTAGTTGATCCTGTTTGATCTGGTGGAAAGTGTGGATTCTGTCAAGCATGGGACTCATTGAGAAGTCTAATTTGCCGTCACTGGACGCGGTGTAACCAGATCAAACATGAGTTGTGTGGACACGGGCCGTAAGATCTACCTATTTAAGATATATCCCGTTGAGGCTTAGCGTTTTTCCCTTTAGGCTTTTGTGTTGGATGATTAGATGGCTGTTGATCCGTTCGCCTAACTTGCAAGTTGGCTTGCGAAAGTTTCGTGCAGTATGCAGTTGAATGTGTACTTCCTCCTTACCCAGCTGCGTTTACACATTTCCTGATGGATATCTCATGTCCCTTATATGACTGGCTAATTGGTATATACGCTTTCTGTAATATTATTAGCCCTGTGGCGATTCGTAATGCATTAGTTTTTGTATAGTTGGTATTCCATTGGTTGGTCGGTTGGTTGGTTGGTTGGTTGGTTGGTTGGTTGGTTGGTTGGTTGGTTGGTTGGTTGGTTGGTTGGTTGGTTGGTTGGTTGGTTGGTTGGTTGGTTGGTTGGTTGGTTGGTTGGTTGGTTGGTTGGTTGGTTGGTTGGTTGGTTGGTTGGTTGGTTGGTTGGTTGGTTGGTTGGTTGGTTGGTTGGTTGGTTGGTTTTTCGACGCACCGACCGGCAGTTGTCTCCTTGTTGAGAAGGAACTCATATTGGAATTCAACTCGCATGCAATCCATAAGGTCTCGTTCACCACATCTTGTGGAGTATTTTCCTCGAAAGGAGACAGAACAATTATTCTGTCATTATTCAATGTCCCTGAATTTCGACCAATCAGCGACCATTCATAAAAAATTCAGGTTTGTGCACTCATTGTTTTAGCTACTTGTGATCAACAAGTAGTGTGGTTGCATTTCGGTTCTCACCGCCATTCCATTCGCTTGAAATTCGGTCAACAGAACAGACTAAGCAGAACTGCCGTGAGACGGTTTTCACCTTTTTTCACATTCAATAATGTCTTCTACTGCATGCATTAAACGAATTTATGATTCGAAGAATCGATATTTCATGACAAAACCAGTCAGCTTGGGCCCAAGTAAAGTGTTGCGTTAGATTTTACCGTTAATCACAACATAACGTTAATTACAAGCACTAATATCTCAACCATGATGCAGCCAAGTTGATTTCAGAAACGTCTTCAACTTGCAGTCAATTTCGCTCACCGCTGGCGTGCTCTCCCATGGTGATGACACAGTAGCCGAACGTGTCTCACTTTTGAAAATATGCTTTATGAATCGTTATTTATGATATGGAATAAAGAAAAGCCCTGACAAACCTCCCTACTGTCTGTAAATGTCCCTAGGACACAACGAAACAGTATTCTAATTTCTCTCGTAGAAGAATACCTCATCTGTGAAGCTACCTTGTCGTTTCCGCAATTGATTAACATTCCATCCAGATGGCTACCCATGAAATACCTCTTTCATCTTCCTATCGAGCGTGTACAACTACGCAGCACTCTAACACGGTCACATGCGTTTTTTACCAAAAGCCTAGTGCATATAACTTGCTTCACACTTTTTAGAACATTTTGTTTCTCCTCAAACGTTCTCTTTTATTTCAGGTAAAAATGGACTGACCGTCTTGGATGATGGTAAGACCGAAAAGAAAATTCACGTTGAAGTCCCGTTGGAGCCTGAATTTGGACTTGATAATATTCGGGTGTATGTGGAGTCCAAGAAACTTGTTGTTCACGGCTACAAGAACATTCCAGATGATAAAGGCCGATATGAAGAGGACTACCGTAAAGAATTCACAAGGACGTACAACCTTCCATCCCCGATCGATACTCTATCTATTCGCACGCGAATCGAACTGAACACTTTGCTTATTGAAGCGCCCCTGCTTTGAAGTGTGTAACTTCCGGAACTCAACTATTTAAGAGCCTCACTTGCTTGATTTTAACATTTTGAACCAAATATAACCGCACCCTCTCCCTCAAAGCATCTATTTTACCAAACATCCTACACCTCTGTCATTGGGGCGCAGAAACCCCAACATGGATGGCTTCCATTCGAACAAGGGTCCCTTTTGGGTATCACTTAGAATCCTATCCAAGGACAAGACAATCTGGCTACACTAATTAACTTTTTGAGCTATTCTGCCACAACGATTTCTGGGCAGCTGAACATTTTATTGCTTACGAATTTCATCGGATTTTGAATTTTGAATATCCGTACCTTTCAAATTTCCGAAACTTGCTGGTTTTTAGTGAAACCAAGACTTATGTACATTATCCGAAATTCATTTGACCTTGCTAAAGGCGGACAGGTACCAGCAATGACACCGGTCCCCCC